CGAAAAAATATTTTCGTATTAAAGACGACTTTTTGCAAGTTACACCTGCAGCAGACAGCACAATAAGCTATTTATAGTTTGATGATAAATCTTGATAAAAAAATATCGCAAGATAAGCACATTTGATCCGGCATCCATTGTTTTAGACTAGTTGACAGCGGTAAATGTATCTTACCATCACAATGCAGCGTTACTTTACCGGCAATATAATGCCACTTATGCACATAATACGACTTATGCATATAATACTACTTATGCATATGGGTGGATAAAAGCAGGTGTCCGATATTAGAGAGTAAATACTTTATCCACGTATTTACAGAATTATACAATAATTTATTCATGCATGAAAACAAATATACATATTAGAAGATAGAGAAAAGTGAAATGAAGCCTTCCTGCTGAGTTGATTTGGTCTTACATTTGCGCCAGTGGATGTGACATTGGCATCAAAGGTGAGAGAAAATGAAAGTCTTGGGTAGTAGTCGTTCTCAGGAAAGTGAATTAATCAGTGAGCCGGCTTATATTGCGTGCCTCTAGCCAGACTGTAATATGATGCGGGTGATGAGTAGATGAATAGGCAACCAGAATTACTACTACTGCTACTGCTGTTAAAATATGAAGCAATTTTAGTAGCTATAAATGATGAGTAGATACAATTTCAAACAGGATTAATACTAATACTGCTACTACTACAACTCCTGCTAATTCTTTGAGATGTGAGCAAATTAAAGCTAAGATAAATGCAGATAATTAAGTTTTGCAAAGCTACAATCTATTGTAACTGATCAAACAAACAAAACATCCAATAAAAACAACAGGAAGCAAAACGGAATAATTAATAAAATCCTCGCGGAAACCCCTCCATATTTGATTTTACATTCATACGAGATAGAAGATAGGCATTTTATCCGATTCAGTCACGTGACCCACCGCAGTGGCTCGTATTCAGTCGGGGAGAGACCACAGCTCTAAATTTAATCAACTCATTTTCGCATTTCTCATTTTCGGTGTATGTAAATTTCTACTAAAATGTACATTCAACCGCACGTCATCAATCATCCATTACCGGGCACGTTTGTTAGCCGTTGGTCACGTGACCAGCTCTTTCACTTCATGTCCTATTATTTCGTCCAAGGTCAGACTCTGTTCTTCTCCCCCTGCTGCTCCTATGAGCCACACACACACACACACACACACACACACACACACACACACGCACACACACGCGCAGTAATTAGCGATTGTGTTTTGTTGCACTGAATTCTGTTTCTTTCAACATTCCTAATGTTAAGACATCAGTAAAGTGTTCGTCATTTGAACACTGATGCTGATGTTTAATATTTTTATGAAACATGTATGGGCAGGAGCTGTTTAGTTTTTACTCTCCAGGATTGATAGAGTCCAAAAGCGTCTCTGCGTTCTTGTGGGTGATGAATTGTGTTCCACCCTACAACCTCTTTCTCACAGACAAAACATCGTAAACCTCTCGCTGTTCTATCGCTAATTCTATGAAGAATGTTCTGACGAACTACATTCCTTAGTTCCACCATTTCTAACCTTCATTGCTAAGACCCATCATGCCACACCCATTGTAGTGAACCACCCTTAATCCTTTCACATTCCAATGGTGAGATTTAACCAGCTTCATCACACAAACTGCTGCTTTGTGGAACCGACTTCCAAGAGCATTCTACCCGGTTCACTACAAGCTTAATCTGATCAAATCCAGGGTTCACCTTTTAATCTGTAACCCTCTACCGCGGGTGACTCTCGGGTCTTGTACAAAGTGGATATCATTTCTAAATGAAGAAGATGTAATCCATATATTACATACTAAATGAACTCGCTATGACACCTTTTTTTTTAAAGTTGATTCCCTAATATTCACGAAATCCAGCCAAGGTTGAAACGAGTGAATGGGGTTTTCGAAAACAGTAATTCTGCGTCTTTCAATTCATCTAAAACGTAGCCATTTTCAATCATCAAAGGCTGTCAAGAATTCAGCTGTTCTTTTGGAGAATTCATGAGATAATTCTTTTAATAATTTCACTCCGAAGCAAAGAAAGATTGAAGAAAGAACAAAAAAGGAACAGGGTCCAAGAACGCGGAAGATGGCGATTGACATTACGCTTAAATTTTTAAAGATTGTAGTTTTCAGGTAAGCAACAAATCGGAAGGGAATTCCATAGGCAGGAAGTGCAAGAAACGAAATTGTTAGAGTAGAAGTGGCAGTTGCATCTAGCTAGTTCAACAGTAAAATCGTGAGACCTACTTGCCAATCTAGTAGAATTTAGTCGTGGCACCAGGGAAAAGAGATCAGTTGGCATGAAAATATTAGTAGAAAAGACAGAGTGAAGCCACTTAACGTCGATGAGAAAGTAACTGAAATCGAGACGTCTGGTCGGATATATTACATTGCAGACTCTTCGGATTTTGTCAAGAATCTCCAGATATAGAGCCGGAGCGCCAAACCAAATATAGCAACAGTATTCAATACTTGGACTAATGATATATTTATAAATGTGAAAAATGGATTCTGAGGAGAACGACAGAGAGAACTAACTTACCTTGCAGTAGATACAGCCATTGATTCGATGCAGTCAATCCATTTCATGTCAGTGGAAAACATGAATCCAAGAAGGTGCAGAGTGTTGCTCACCTGGAGTTTAGCATCAGCCATGCTGATGGTAGGGAGAAAACGTTTTCTTCGGTGATTGGAGGTGCTTTTTAAGAGCAGCTGCCATGTTCACTTTGTCGATTCTGTCGGATTGGCTACTGAGACAGGAGTAAATGGTTGTGTCACCTGCATAAATGCCTAATTTTGAACAGATGACATCGGAGAGGTAGTTGATGAAGCTCAGAAAAAGTGTAAGTCCAAGGACTGAGCCCTAGGGGGCACTGCTTTTGTATGGATCTGAAAACGGGTCCGTTCAAAACGACCTTCATTACTCGATTTGTTAGGAATTATTGGATCAAGCCAAATATTCGTCCCATGACATTGTAAGCCTTTCTACACGGGTAGAAAGTCAGCTTACCAAACTCCGTTGAACGCTTTTGAAATATCTAGGCCCACTGTCAGTGCTTTCCCATTCGTATCTAGAGCTTGATAGACAAATTCAGTAATGGTCATTAACACATTAGCGGTTAACCTGGCGAAACGGAAGTCATACTGTTTGTGCGAAAGGAGGTCGTACAGAGTAAGATCCATGACTAATTTGGCATTGATTAGAGCCTCGAGTACTTTGCTGAAAAGAGCTAAGAGACTAATAGGGTGATAATTTGAGGGGTCATAGGGTTCCCCAGAGTTCGGAAAAACAGGAACTACAGAGAACGACTTCAAACCAGCTGACAAGTAGGAAGCACTGAGGCATTTGTTATAAAGTTTGGAGAGAACAGGAGCCAGCTCAGGATCCCATTCTTTAGGACATCGGCAGGGAACCGCTTGCCTTGTGGGATCTAATTTAGAAATGATGCCTAAAAACGGTGACGGGGTTAGGCGCCTATCACTCAGTAGAGCCGATGTTCTAGGGGGAAAATCTGGTAGAGGTATTGCAGATGAGTAGTGAATGGAGTTGGAAAAGAACTTCCTAACAAAACACTCTATCTTATCTATAGTAAATGTCAATACTTCAAATTGATTGAGGAGAGGAGGTACTGAAGATATGTTACTGTACTCTCGAACCAAACTCGTGAGAGGCTATAAGGTGTCTCCTTTCAGCAAACAGTAACTTCGTATCTTTGAGGAGACGTTTGCAGTCGTTACGATTAATGACAAAGAGACGTCTGTTACAATGAGACCTGTTGCTCTGGCATAGACGGAAGAAGTGATTCCCGTACGCGACTGAGAAGGCAGGCAAGATCCAAGACGATGATCGTGACTGATAGGAGTGCGGAAACAGATACCTCCAGATACTACTATATAATCGGAGTCGCGAAGAAGACAGAGCTGCCGAGCACGACATGAGTCCGGAGTGGCGGTAAAGAGGGAAATCAAGTAAAGTAGTGTGTCCATCAGGATTACTGGGGAACCGCGTGAGGAATTCTACTACTTGAGTGAGTGATTGAGTGATAGAGAAGTTAAAGAACATTAGAATAATTAAACCAATTAACACGGTTGGCATTGAAGTCACAGAAAACAAAGATATTTGCAAACGGGTGTAGCGAGAGGGCCTTATCTATACTACCAGAAATTCTGTCTAGGACGTAGCAATCATGAGAGGCAGAAGAGACTGAGGTTATTAGAGAAAGTCAGAGGTACATATAAGGATAGTCCTGAGACGCGAGGGAGTGTTCCTTTGCCAGTCGGTGATGTTCCCGAACATAACGACCAAGGCCATGTATATAGATACTAGAGTCCTTCCTAAATTGATGAAGATAACCAGTAACGTCATTGGGGGAGATTGAAGAATTCAAATTATTTTTACAGAGAGCTAGGATATCTGTAGAGTGTTCCAAGTGGAACGATTCCATCTTGCAGAAAATGGTTCGAGTATCGCGAATGTTTCGGTATTTTTGGCGAGCTGCTTTAGATGCATTTTAAAAGGTGGAAAATGTCAATGATAATAGCAACTGACGGTCGTCTAAGGTAAAATGTGCTGGATGGGAATTGGCACAGACTGCAGTATGTTGTGGCTTCAGGGTTGCCCACTGGAAGTGCTTTTCAACATCATCCAACATCGAAATTCATGGAAGAATATAGTAATTTTCCATCCATCCGACAACATTTTTCCGATCTGTATGCTGCTCCGAGTGTAATAGACGTGATCTATTTCTTCATCAATGAGTCAACCATAAAAAATATCTCAAAACGAGGCAATTGTTTCTGTTTGTGCATCGAACCTGTCTAGAGCGAATCATCATCATTCCTTTCATATTTACCTGGTGAGATGCAAGTTTCACTCCAGCAGCCTCTTCCCACGAACCAGCTTTATAAAACCGACTCCTTAGATAAAAGTAGCAGGTAATCTACTTTGAAAAAATGAATGGGGGAACAATACCTCAAAGACAAAGTCTTGTAAAAAGAAAGGAAAATGTGGAGACCCATAATTGTTCAAATCCTGAAAGTGTATGAGAGAGAGAGAGAGAGAGAGAGAGAGAGAGAGAGAGAGAGAGTAAATTTTGGTAAGACGTTTGTAAGACTATAAATGTAAGACTTTTAAATAATTTTACATTGTACATGATTGAAAATCGTATCAGCAATTTGCATCGACCTTGTGGCCAAGAGAGTTTCATATTTTTCATCTTGCTTTGTAGCTAATTCAGTATTTCACAATAGAGAGAGAAATTCGTATTTTAAGCAAATCACATATTTTCAAGGGCGAATTTTCCCGGTAGGTAGACCTCTCCACCAATTTGTTAAAACAGTCTTTCTATCCCAATTTCCCGGTGTATTATGTTAGTAAATGTTGTGGTAAGATCCACCTAATTTGCATAGTGGAGTACCGACCATATAAATATGGTTGGTACCGGGAAGAAAGGGGGGAAATCAAGAGATTCAATCCAGCGACTCTGCCCGACTGCGACTAAGTCAACACATTCTCCAGGAACGGTCTTCCCAGGAATATACAAAAGACTATATGTAAATATTGTGTACACTTTCTTGTTTCAATACATTTTGTTCTAAGTACATTTTATGTTGTATTATTATTCCATGCATTAGTCAAGTTTCAACAGTAAATATCCGGGAATTGAATACCTCAGGCGAGGATCGGCGTACACCTGATGAAGGCCGGATGGAATAACGGCCGAAACATTGTGATAAAAACAATAAAGGTAACTCCTCATTCTCGGAATATTGTTTTGTTTTGGTCACAAAACATGCCACAAATTTCAAACCTGTTTAACCTGTATAGGACACAATGCAATGCTGAATAAATTCCCTGTATCCACATTCGATGAGCACAAATGGATAGCTCTGGAACATACCTGGGTAGATACACCCAGGTAACCACTCTATCATCTTGTAGACATCGTGATGTTGCGTAACCGACATTATAAGAAGTGAAAAACTGCATAATTAGTTGGCTTTTGGCATTTCTCTTCATTTTCATGTTTGTCAACAATTTTTAATCATAAGCTTAAATTTATTTTAAAAGATATGGGTCTTAATTTTAACACGAAGAAAATTCTTTCTTCAATACTTTAACTTTATATATATATAAATGCATTTTACAAATATATCACTCGTATACTATTGATTATTTCAAATAATTCTGAAGATCATCATATGTATTTAAATATTTAAAATGAATCACAAGTTGTCAATGTTGCAAACGAAACATGAAATGTTTGTAAATATTTTAAACGCTTTATGTTTCAATATATTTTAAACGAATGGTGCAATTTTTGTAAATATTTCTAACAGATCATGAAATGCTTGCAAATATTTTAAACGCACCATGAGATGTTTGCAAATAATTTAAACGCATAATGAGATTTTTGCAAATATTTTAAACGCATCATGAGATGTTTGCAAATATTTAAAACATCATAAGATGTTTGCAAATATTTTAAACGTATCATGAGATGTTTGCCAATATTTTAAACGCATCATGAGATTTTTGCAAATATTTTAAACGGATCAGGAGTGGCTTACAAATAATCATGACATTCTTGCAATTTTGCTTGAAGTGAATCTGGGATATTTGCAAATATTTTAAACAGATTCTGAGATGTTTTCAAATATTTAAAATCAATGATGAAATGTTTCCGTATATATTAAACGGATTATGAGATGTTTCCAAATAATTTAAACGAATCACGAGATGTTTGCATATATTTTAATCTAATCATGACATGCTTGTAAAACTTTTGGTAGGATCCTGAGATATTTGCAAATATTGTAAAAGGATCCTAAGGAACTGGCAAATATTTTATAAGAATCATGAGATATTTGCAAATATTGTAAACGAATCATGAAATGCTTGCACATAACATAAACGGATCATGAGATGTTTCTAAATATTTTAACCGATTCATTGGATGCTTGCAAATATTTAAACGAATCCCGAGAGATATTTACAAATATTTTAAAAGAAAATGCGTCGCATGTTGAATTGGAAAGAAAATTAAAGCAAAGCAAGGAATCACAATGGAAAATGTCTAGAAAATCGCAATAGGAAACCTTTCATTATTTGTCTAAAATCCGTGATGAAAGATGCGTATTTTTCTTTTTAATTAAAGAGGAAATAATCCTATATAATCCTGAATCACTAGAGTTCAGAAAAAGAAACGTTTTTATCCAACAGGCATTTTATTTATTTTAATTATTTATGGGTGGAAAATTTTTCCAAAATATTGAAAAAATCACAAATAGATTTTATATATTTTAATTCATTTTGACGTGATAAGGATTTAACAGAACAAAGATAGTATATTTTATATCAGTGATAATTTGCCTATATTTAATTTTACTTATTTAACTTCTCGGTTGCTATAAGGTTGATTAAATTAACTTTCAAAATGATAACAGAGATTAAACAGCTTTATATTTCGCTTTGAGGGCTCACGTTCACCCTCACGCATTGAACATCAGAAAATTTCAAAATAATTTTCAAAAATATGTTCTAATTTTTATTCTGATGTTATTTGAGCTTTACAAACGAAATTGACTTCAATTCAACAATGGGATAAGTCTAAAATAGTAACTTAACTGTCATTTCAGGGTTTTAGGTTAATAAAATTTCAGCATCTGCCTATATTTCTGAGATGAGGTATTATGTACACTATTTACATTGTTCGGACGATCAACCTCATTTTTGTTGCCATATTTATCACAACATTTCGGCCGTTGTACGCTCCAGCCTTCACACACAGATGTCCTCAAGGACACATGGGACAGTGGATAAAGGCGTTAGTTAGATCCAGTGACAGGACCCAAAGTGTGAGTTCAATACCTGGTTAAGGCGGCGGAGAACGCGGAGAGGGAAATTAACAGGAGATAAGTGATAACTGACATCCATTAGACATGGCACGTGGAACTAGAACAGTTTACTCCAGCGAGCGAAATAAAGGGTTCAGTTCGACATTCCAATCACATAAAGAAAGCCGGAGCGTACAACGGCCCAAGCGTTGTGATAGTCCGAACAATGTCAAGAGTGAACAATAAATTTATTGAATGAACGAAGTGTTTCAGTAAGACGTTTCGATAATAGGGTTGTTACTCTATAACATCAACCATTAATTACCAGGCGATATCAGAGCCATGCCACTTACTACACAATCCAAAGTGCATAGAATTTAGAAGTACCAGAGACAATACGAGATTTCCACACACAGACATATATATATATATATATATATATATATATATATATGTGTGTGTGTGTGTGTGTGTGTGTGTGTGTGTGTGTGTGTGTGTGCAGAGTGTTATGTTCGCGCCCCCAGACTTCCAGTTCGAGTATGTGAGCCTCGAAAACTTGAACAATAAAAATGTTTTAAAATCACTACAAAAATAGCCATTTTGTTTCAACTCTTCTGATATCTTCTCAAGTGATGGTGTTGAATATAGCATAAAGGGTTTTACGTTTTATTCTACATTCAACACCATCACTTGAGAAGTTTCACCCTTTATTCTACATTCAACACCATCAATAAATGATTATATTTGCTCTACTCAGTATTGAGCACTCTTTTAAGAATAGTATTTGTTGGTTATTGGAATTTATATATATATATATATATATATATATATATATATATATATATATATATATATCTTTCGTGGCCTGACGATTGCGTCTAGCATGAAACAGCCTGTCGCTTCTAAGTATTGACTTCAATGTTCACTTTTATATTTACACGCGCCCTATCTCCGATATTGAGCACTTTATCCCATAAATATAGCACACCTTAAGAGTATATTTTTTCATATATATATATATATATATATATATATATATATATATATATATATATGATATACGCGTATGTAAATAAGTATAAATATATATATAATTTTCAATATTATATACGCGGTACTTATTACAAAGCGCTCAATATCAGCGATAGAGTTAACATATTTAGTTGCGTTGATGATTGATTTCGCAAGATAAGCTTGTTAATCATTACACCATGACGAGTGCCTTGTGACCGTGGGTTTCACGCCCTTTGCGATCGTCAGACAAACTCACATCTGACAATCCCAAAGGGCGTGAAACCCAGAGACACAAATTCACATCATCGCAACTACATATATATATATATATATATTATCATTCACAGACAGACTGTTTCGCTGTATCATAGCTCATCAGTGTGGATAGACATGCGATTGCTTCAAGCCGGGATCGAAACCCGACCAATTTGACTTCATTCGGAGACTCTCTAGGCGATCAGTGTAAGGGAATTTTAACACATAAATATTATTGTCTACCAGAGGGATCAATTCATATTGAAGAGCTTAGCATTAATCATCATCAGCAGCCATCAAATTCCATTTCTCCCACAGTGCTTAAACTACGAAAGGGGTAAAGTATTGCAGATACTGGATATAATTGAGATCTCCTTGTGAGTAAGCAGACAAGGAATGAGTTGGTGGAAGATTGCAGTGAATTGGCTTTTGAAGCAAATCAAATATTATTACAAGATTAGAAACAAAATAAAATCTGATTACAAATATGATAGGTAAAAACTATCGCCAACCACATAAAAAAAGTGTCAAGAGGCAACAGAAAGATACAACAATTTTATGATAAAATCCACTATCATTGTACTCGCTCTAAACACACACACACACACACACACTCTCTCTCCTTCTTTCTCTCTCTCTCTCTCTCTCTCTCTCACACACACACACACACACACACACACACACACACACACACACACATATATATATATATATATATATATATATAGTGGCACTGATATTAGTTTGTGACCCTGGGTCTCACGCCCTTTGCGATCGTCAGAAAAATTGATTAATTTAGAAATTTTGGATTTATTTATAAATAAATCTAACATTTCAAAATTAATTAGTTTGTCTTACGATCGCAAAAGGCGAAAAAACTCACATCAACGCAACTAAATATCTTAGCTCTATCACTGATGCTAAATCCTTTCCAATAAGTACCACGCATATATATATATATATATATATATATATACTGACGTGTTTGTCTGAAAATAAATAAATTCACCTTCATCCCAATGGCTTAGTGGTAAAATCTTGAAGGCAATGGGATGCTAGCGACATTGACGAGCTGTGAAATAGCGAAATAGTCCGTCTGGGGATGACACTATATATACATGCCCCTGAAAAAAATGATTAATTGAACTTTTCGGGGAGAAAAGTTAATTTGTAAACAGTGACTATTACTGTTGCTGATGCAAGAATCTTCCTTAAGACGAATCGAGTTCTCCTGTGACTGGAGTGTTTGTCTAAAAAAATAAAAAATAAAAAAATAAAATCGCCTAAACGCCTAAATTCACCTTCGTCCCTGAAGTGCACCAATGGCTTAGCGTAAAATCTCCGACTACTACCCAATCAGTCGGGTTTCGATCCTGGCTTAAGTCAATCGAACGTCTAGCCACAATGGTGAGCTGCGAAAGTCTGCCTGTGGATGACAATATATACGTAATATCGCACATTGTATGCTGGTGTCAATAAAATAGTTTTCGATGTATAATAATAGCGCTATAAATTATATATTAGTAATAAATATACATTTTTCTCACCGGTTGCATAACCCTGAGTTTCATGCACAAATCAATCTTCAGGTGCTGAGTTAAAACTGACCGTTACATAATTTAAATTTATATCTATCTATCTATCTATCTATCTATCTATATATATATATATATATATTGGACTATCGTAATAGTGGAGTAGTCCATATTTTCACTGTTTTTGTGTTAAATATATGGTGGACTTTCTAGTCGCGGACGACAAATGACGGTTCAGTAAAATAAAGAGGTCCTCATCTTTTATGGAGCCTCATGTGTCTCCCAAGGCCTACAAGTGTCTTGCAAGCATTTAGACAGAGGGAACATGTAGTTGAGGATCACTTGCCACATGTTTCCGCGATCGGACAGCAAGGCCTGCTTTAATGCCTACGACAAAGCCACGGTAGCTGGCTATCATTGAGAGGAGCAACATGCATGCTGCCAACTTTTTAAATGTTCAAGTCGGTCTTGCTTAAACCTTTGTATAGATGAGAAGCAGGAGAGTCGCCAGCTCCTTTGCTCTGATGCTTTTGTTTACCCAGGAAGAAAAGGAGGATGCTGCATCGCTTCAGATTGTCTTTGAGTTTGTCTTTGTAACGCAAGAGTGGCCTTCCAACTGACCTGCTTGTTAGAAGCTAGCCAAAGAGAAGTTGTTTTGAAAGGCTGCTGTCATTCACACGAGAAAAACGTACTGCCCACCTGAGATGGATTTTCATTAAGATGCCGTCAATATCCATCCCAGTACATTTAGTTAGAACGTCACTTTTTTTCTAATGAGATTACCTAGTTTTCGGTTGCAGATCTTACGTAGGCAATGCATGTGGAAGTTATTAAATTAATTGATGAGTTGTCGGTACAGATTCCAAGTTTCTGCACCATAGAGTAGGGATGTCAGTAATGCTGACATATACACATCAATTTTCATATTTAACGAAACATCGCGGATATTCCAAAGCCCGTGATAAAGATTAACGAAGACAGCCTTTCCAATCCTGCCCTCAATTTCTTCGCTCATTCTAGCATCTTCGAATATAATGGGGTCAAAATAGGTGAAAGAGGAAAACGATTTTCAAGATTTCCCCTTAACATAAATACTGGGAACAACAGATAGAAGATAGGCAAATGGTAAAGTTCCGTTTTTTTATGCTAAGTGTCAGATCAAAAGCTTTTGATGAACGAGGTAATTTCCTAACGATCCATTGCATATCCTCAAGGGCGTGGGCTACAAGTGTCTAATCGCCAGCAAGGAGCAGGTCACGAACAGTTTGTAAAAATAAATTAAGCCTTGCTTTGAAGAGTTGTTGTTTGAACGACTCTCCACTTGACCTAAACGTAAACCTCACACCTTTTTTTAACATTGTCAAATGCCATTTCCAGTATGACAGCAAAATACAAAGCAAATAAGAGAGGTGCAAGAAGACAACCTTGTTTCGAGACAATAAATAAGTTGGACACCTTTCAAGTGGACGTGACGACATTGAGCATCTTTTAAGGGATATTCAACTTCCTAAGGACGGGCCAAAGAGTATCCCTTAAAACGGTATCAAAGTGAGATCAACGAAAGTAACAAATAAATCCTTGTCATATTCTATTGCTTACCCTTTAGTTGCTTTAAACTGAAAATCATATCCACAGTGCTTCTACCAGACTAAAAGCCGCACTATGGTTCAGACAAGACTGAATCGACCAGAGAAAAGTTGAGTTTGTTCAAGATGATCCTACCAAGAACCTTCCCAGCAATACACAGAAAGAAGATGGTTGTCACATATGCACATTTATTGCCTTTGTGCTTATACAGATAGACAATAGAAGCGTCTTTAAATTCCCAAAGAACTCATCTTGAATTCCAGATTAAAGAAAAACCTCACAAAGTTTATGAACTAGGAGATTGATGCCAAATTTGTATGCCATTATTACCAGAAGACTTCCTCTCTGTTAGATGCATTATGGATCTTTTTATCTCAGCAATAAATGGTGGAGCTGATAACACTTAGGCCTCTGTGCTAAATTGTTGATAAGATTCACGTCAACATTCGAATCCATGTTTAGAACATTTGGGAAGTGTTTTGCCTAGCGTTCAGTGATCTCATTTTCGTCCGTTAGGAGATTGCCCTTGGTAGAAAAGATTGGAGTTGAGTCATTTGACACAGGTCCAAAGATACTCCTTAGATCTGATAGAATGATCGCATCTATCAGTAGCCCTCAAATATTATAGACATTCGTTGTCTGTTATATTTAACAATATATGTTTGAATATAGATCTGCTGCAGAAAGAGAAAGAGAGAAAGAGAGAGAGAGAGAGAGAGAGAGAGAGATAGAGAGAGAGAGAGAGAGAGAGAGAGAGACGCTATTGGGCTCCGTAAGTTTTTAATCAGCAGAATCCAATTAGATTCCAAGTGGAATTTTGTTATTTTCCAACTAGCTCGTATACCGCATTATGCTATTAATATAAAACAAAGATCTACTTGGAGCCGATTGATTTAAACTCCCAACGGCTCTCTTTCTGTCTTTGCCTCTGTCTGTCTGTCTCTCTGTCTGTCTCTCTCTCTCTCTCTCTCTCTATATATATATATATATATATATATATATATATATATATATATATTACAGGACAGGCATCTTAATGCAACTCATAATATCAGAGAAAAATACCGCACCCTACACACACACACACACACACACATACACACACACACACACATATATATATATATATATATATATATATAAAAGAAAGATCAGATTTATATTCCAGAGTTCTTTAGCATTTATTTAAAACAAACAGTGCTCGATACACAGTAGAGCAAAGTATTATAATTATTTTTTTTAAAAATACGTATGCATTGCGACACAGAACTTACTATGGTAAGTCCCGAAACCAAAACTTAAATCTTAAATTAAAATTTGAAGTTCAGTTCCATTTTCTAGCGATACTGATAATAACCTTCGAAAAAAATCAGTTTTTTTAAGAAGGTTATTCTCAGCATCATTCTCAGCAATTTACTACTTTATATTTTTATATTTTCGTTTTATACATTTATCATAGTCACGCGCCCGTCTGCGCGGTTGTGCTTACGTATAGGGTGTCGTGATTCTTTGTCCTTTTCTTTTTTTTTTTATGTATATATTAAAATAAATATGCATTTGTTTCTCACCGTCAAATATAAATTTTATCTGTTATTTTACATTATTTTGTTATTACATCACTGTGTGCTGTTATATCTATCTATCTATCTATCTATCTATCTATCTATCTATCTATCTATCTATATATATATATATATATACATATATATATAATAGGTGAAAATATATAGAAAATAGGAAGGAACTGGTTAGGTAAATAATCAAAAGTCCCTTAGTATTTTAGTTATTATTTTTAAAAAATAGTACTCGATACAAAAGTAGAGCATAAATATAATTATTTATTTAAAAATATGATTCCAAAACGTGACGTAAGAAGTCTCATGTTTCAAAACAAGAGCCGAAAACTTCAATATAATTATTTAAATTAAATTGACTTAAAATAAGCTCTGTTCCATCTTCAAGCGAAATTTTTTTGGAATAACGTATATCTGAAATTTACGTGTTTTAAAAATTGAAATAAAAATTTCCATGGTAACAGCTAGGGCGAATTGTTTAAGTTGGGTAGGCGGGTGTTGGGTGTTAATAATAAGTATCAGTATAGAGTTACTTTCATAGATGTCAAGTCAGGGAAAGGTGGGGGTGTCTAAATTTTAAACGGAAGATGTATTAACCCTCGTCTAGTTTGCATGTCTATGGAGATTTATTTATTTTTTTATTTTATTTTTTTATGAAAGGGATTTGTGCATATAAAAAAAACAAAAAAAATGGGAAAAATTATGTAACTGTAGAAACCTAGAAGACTGCCCATTAGAAAATAATTGCTGCATTAAATCTGTGGTATACCAATGTACTATATCATCCACTGAGAGCCCTAGCACTAATATGATATACATTGGGTCCACGAAGAATGATTTAAAGATAGATGGAGGCATAAGTGCTCTTTCAATAATATAAACAAAAGAAATCAGACTTCCCTATCTAAATATTTTTGGCATCTGAAGGAAACAAATAGGACACCTAAAGTTAAATGGAAAATTATAAACAAGGCTAGAAGATGTAAAACTTGGGATGACCCATGCCCTTTGTGCCTCCATGAAAAATTGCACATTATTAAGCTTCTAAATAATAATAATCTATTAAACAATAGACACGAGTTAACGGTTTTTTGTAGACATCATCAGATTTTTGGTTTGAATTATTAGCTAAAAAAAAGCATAAAATATAATAACTTGTTTAATCCATAGCCCGATCATCAGATTCATGGTTTGAATAATTAACTAAAAACATGCATACAATATAACACCCTTCATAATCCATAGCCGAAATAAATAGTTTAAATACCCTACAAAAAAGATAACCCTTTATGAAGTCGTCAAAAAACAAACGTTACGACAGTTTTTTTTTTTTTTATATGCACAAATCCTTTAATAAAAAAAAAAATAAAAAAAAATAAATCTCCATAGACATGCAAACTAGACGAGGGTTAATACATCTTCCGTTTAAAATTTAGACACCCCTACCTTTCCCTGACTTGACATCTATGAAAGTAACTCTATACTGATACTTATTATTAACACCCAACACCCGCCTACTCAACTTAAACAATTCGCCCTAGCTGTTACCATGGAAATTTTTATTTCAATTTTTAAAACACGTAAATTTCAGAAACCCGTAATTCCAAAAGAAATTTCGCTTGAAGATGGAACAGAGCTTATTTTAAGTCAATTTAATTTAAATAATTATATTGAAGTTTTCGGCTCTTGTTTTGAAACATGAGACTTCTTATGTCGCGTTTTGGAATCATATTTTTAAATAAATAATTATATATATATATATATATATATATATATATATATATATATATATATATATATATGTATGTATGTCATGTGTCATCAGGAGATAAGCGTTAACGCCATTGCACAAATTCAGTTTCTTTATTATTTGAAATTGCCATGAATTCTTTATCTTGTACTATTGTACTATGCTAGAAGAGAAGTTTCTCTTTTTAAATTCAGATGAATCCTTTTAGAATTGGCTACCTCGCAAGGGTCGATATCCAATTGTGGTGAGATATTTAACACATTACTGGAATTAGGAGAACCGATGGATTCAATCCTTTCACAAAGTTTATACGTATAAAAGTGAACTCAACAGACGAGAAGTTGAACTCTTCTCGACGATTTCAGTTTTCCGCACCAATAATTTTGTACTTTCTGACTTGCCTTTCCGTTTGAATTATAAAATTAAAATTAATTTTTCTTTCCTCTTGAAAAAAAATCTTTAGCCTACGTAGCCTTAAGAAATCTTAACCATTGCTGCATATTCCTGCCTTAAATCCAAAGTAAAATTTCGTTTTCTCGAGATAAACTCTTAAAAGTAAAACCAGTAAAAATATTACAACAAATAATTTTGCATGTTTTAGGTTAGAGGCGATCACAACAGCCTTCCGTTTTTATTAGTTGTGAATAAGCATTAATTCTTCAGAGATAATGGTGGTATGTTTTTCGTGCTTTTTTTGAATTCAGAGATATTTTTTCTTTTAGACTGGCATACAACCAAGGTTAAAGAATCCATTTTACCTTTTTATTTAACCCATACATAAGGAGAAATGACTTAATGACTTTAGCAGAGGCATTTGTGCGAAGGGGAAAGCAAACGGTTAAACCAAAATTGGAACTCGGTTCTCTGATTACGTTTGCCGCATCGATAACAGTTACGAGAATGCCCGTATATATATATATATATATATATATATATATATATATATATATATATATATATATATCCATCCCAATGAAATTATTTCATAAATTCATCTAACCTACTAAAAGCCGTAATAGGATATTTTTTGTGAAATTATTGAAAAAGATCATTTTGTGACAAGAACTATATTCTAATATTGTTATGGTTTGACATTCTTTGGAATTTGATAAAAAGCCGTTCCTTATTTCTGGGAGCATTCACTTGACCACTTCCGGCTTTTCAACAAGGCAAGAATTTTTTTGTTAAATGTCAATTGAAGAAACGCATTAAGATTGATTTTTTTCTTTCTACACTTCAAGCATACACTCGTCTACAAATACACACGCATAAGTACATTCAAATACGTACATGTAAGCATATATTGTCCATTGTTTTTTTTTTGTTCCGTCTTCCATCTTATTTCAATCCATCATTGAATTTCACTCACATGATTCCGAATAGATGTTTATTATATTCTTAAAACCTTATTTTGACTCAAATACGTTTTCGATTACCATTAATATTTCTGTCTGGCTTAAAATTTTATATTTTTCATTTCTAACAATATATTCAACACATTTGTACCTTGGAGCAACAGAACTAATTGTTTTATCAAACTGAACCAAACTATTCCGACTGGTCTTGATTCATACTTTATTCTTTCACTAAATGATGACGTAATAAGCTTCGTATTTCAGATTTAAACGACACATCCAAAAATGTTTCTTTGTCATAGAAGATTTTGATCATCTATTGCGTTTTATGAATTCATTTCATGAGAAGTAACCATTAAATAATAAAAAAATATCCTAACTCGTATTTATTGCATTCTGAAGAAGATGATGACAGCAGGGGATGTTAGATTTGTTATTTTCATTTTCTTTTTTTCTTTTTGTCCGACATTTATGGGATATTGAGAAAAGACTCGATGATTGTCTTTATTCCAATGATTATGTAATGACGAAGATGACAAGGTTAAAGGTCGAATATTTTATTCAAAAAGTTTTGTACCTTGTCACTTCACTAAGGTAAAGATGATTAAATTTCAAAGATAAATTGATTTGTCCATTTAAAATACTACATTTAACAGATAATATATTTAGTTTAAATACAGAAGGCGTCATAAAACTGACTTTAAAGGCAGTACTTTTTTTGGTTAGCCAGAGTTTAGGCATGTCAACTCAAATTTCCATTTCAGTTTCATTCAAATTCAGTGTGTATGTGTGTTTACATATGAACATGTATATTCTAATTCAATGAAAGAACCAAAAACATTCCGGCAAAATTTTAAATATACTTTTAAAATAATTTTATTTATTACCAAATAATTACCGAAAAGTTCAATAAAATCTTATCATTTTTAAGATTTGAAAAATGAACGGGTTTTCGTTCGAGGAATTTTTCGTACTATTTTTTATCATTAATTGCACCTTTTTAGCTGAATTCACTTTTGATGCCATTAATTTAAAAAAAAATAGAAGTTAAATTCAATTCATCATCATAAGCACTAAACTGGGCATTTATTTTGTGGTCATCATTCTCCTATCATGTTCTAGGTATCAATAAATAGATAGGACTAGACTGATAGTGATCAGTCTGAATAGATTCATATTGATAGATATGAATATTGGCTGATATCAGTCGACAGAAAACGACTGACATAATAATCGATAAGTTACTATAGATCTCTCACTGTAAGTAAGAGAAAGAAAAGCTGATTATTTTTATTTATTTCACAATCATACACACATGTAAACAAAGAAACAGTTTGATGGACAAGCTGTTGATACGTACTTATTTTCGCTCTTATACTTCATGTCTCCAAATATATTATCTTATTCTTCAGCCCCGGGGTAGAGAGTTCCAGACTAAGTGGGAGGTAAATTTATTATTCCAATGTCTTATTTCAAACTCATTCAAATCGTGTGTGTGGGTGTATGTAAGTGTGCGCTTGTGTATACATTAAATAGTACAAGTATATATAAGTTACACACGCACATGGCAGACATACTCATATACATTGCATATGGATATACAAAGCAGGACGCAGACAGTAGGCGAGGCTCAGATAACCCTTGAATCTTTTATAATATTGATTTAACGTTCGAAATTCTTACTGAAAAATTAAAGTAAGACAAATATCTGAAGCAAACAATACACGGCAGCGTAGCTTAAAAATTTATTTCAGTGAACTTTGGAAAAATCTATTTTATTTTTAAAAGTTTCTCGCATTCCTCTCGGCAGTGATAGTTACTTGAAAGTAGATACCGCGACAGGCGCGCTAAAAAGTGATAATACCATGATGAAAAAATGCCCCAAAGTTAATAAAAACAAAGTTTTATTGTGAAAATCTTTATGTTATTATTAAGATGAATTACAAAAGGATATTTTGGATATTAAATTATATTGTTTTATCTTTTTTAGAATGTTATGAAATTTTGGTTAAAAATGTAAGCGTCAACAGGAGACCAATAATTCATGTAGGAAATTTTAGCGTCTTTTTGCAGTGAAAAAGTCATTGATTTGGAAATTCTTGTAAAAATCAAAGAATTGTTGTATTTTTAGACATGTTTCTTTTTTTAGAAGATCTTGATAAAAATCTTTTTTTTTTTACATCTTTTACCAAGTACTTATTTAATTTTATGAAATTTCGAGAAATTCATACCGAAATTCAAAGTATTCAAATTGTACTGAATACTGCTTATATTAGTTATAAGCAGAACACCTTGGAGAATTTAAATCATTTTCGGAGAAAATCTCCTCTGAATCGTAAAATTAAAAAAATGCAAGTAAACTAAGACATTATTTAAATAGAAGAACTTTTAATTTCTTTTATGAATAATATATATTATGGACACTTAAGAAAAAAATCGATGAATAATTAATATTTATAAGAATTTTTTTCATTTTTTAAAAACATCTCATGGTAATAATTTATATAGTTTTAAATCTTTAATTAATTTTTACCGATTAGTTGATAATGTTATTAAATAAATACTATATTTGTCGATCATAAATGGAATAGCTTACTGCAATTCAGCGACCAGGGATATTTTAAAAAGAATTTACAATTTTTTTTAGTGTGTGTATAAATGTGCTGATTTTTGTCAACACAGATGCCCATACATGACATCATCCAAAAATAAAAGCTATAACTCTAGTAGATTTAAAGCCAAAGTATCTAAAATTTAACAAAAAATTAAACTACGCAGAATATTTTTCTAATTTTTTTAAAATTACTGCGTAGTTAAAACATTATATAAAAAAGGCGCCCACGTTATATTCCTCAAGCATTTTTACAGCTATGTCCACCATAGAAAAAATTAAATAAATTTTCGTTTGTTACTGATACTGTCAACCTGTCAACACCTGAAATAAACACCTACCTCCGTTTTAAAATGCATTCTGCAATATTTTAAATTAAAGTAAATAATATGTTTCAAATCAGATTAATTAAACTTTAAATAAGCTAATATTCCTCAGATAAAGCTTCAGAAAAGTATATTTTATTTTTGAAATATTTTCTTTTAATAAAGAGAGTTACATTGTGCTAACAGATGGCTAAAAATGGCTTTAAAATCAGTGAATTTTAGCGAGTTCAAAGCTAAACTCCTTCCAGACAATTTTAATTAGCCTTGAAATGCAGCAAAGTATTTTACGTATTGGAAATATTAAATTTATTCTATTAGCTTGAAATTAAAACAGAAATAAAAGCTTCAAGAAAGATGTTTTTTTTTTAGTTCAGTTATGTGCCATGCATGATACACGCTTAGGCGATCATGTATCTTTCGATACATGACTGATGAGGCAGATTTTTTCCCGTAGTAAGTTGTATTTCTTTCTGCAGTATACCAGTTGCCATCCAAGGCTATAGAACCCGGTCTGCCCTGCTATTTCTTCATACCTGGAGGGAGAAGAGGAGGATGCATACCTTTCCCAAGGTTATTAGCACTTAAATGAATGTAATGGATCCGACTGGAATTCGAACTCAGATCTCCGATTACTCAATCGGAAAAACTTAAAACTTTGGCATTGCGTTTCTGTGGAGCTACATAGTTAAAAGTAATGCCTTATTCATCTATGCAGAAATAAAACCGATAAGTTGAAATTGTCTTCAAAACACATACTAGAAGAAAATGTGACAATATTTTGAGGACAAAAATCGAAAATATTAACCCAAGACAATGATTTATTATATGACATATTTTTGTGGACAAACTTTGAAGTATTTTAGAGATACTACGGTTTATTTATAAGGAAAAAAATTGATAATAGTAATTGTAGAATATTACTTATTATACGACAAGATTTTGATAACAAGACGTGAACATATTTACCAGAGATTATGGCTTATTATAGGGCAATATTTTGGGAAGAGGAAAATAGAATTATTATGGGGTTAGATGGAGGCTCATTTTAGGTCAGATTTTGGAGGAAACAACGCAAAAATAATTTTTCAAGATTTTTGCTTATTATAATGACTGAATTTACAAGTCATATCGTTGAAATATTTTCTAAAGATTGTAGCTTATTATAATATAAAAGTTACACCGGGACTCACCGGGACTCACCGGGAAAATGTTTATTAGAAACTGAGGTTTAGTATATGACAAAATTTTGAGTACAGAACAGGAACATATTTGCCAGATAATGTGACTTATTATAGAACCAGATGTTAAGGATAAACACACGATATGTGCTAGAGTATGTGGCTTATTATACTGCAGACGTTTCTAGACAAAACATAAAAATATTTGCGAGAGATAGGGCTAATTGTAGACAAAAATTCCGAAGAAAATTTGAAAAATATTGGCTAACCCCTATGGTTTATTTAGGACTAAAACTTGAATGAAAATGTGAATATTGCTATTGTGTATGGCTTAGTATTATACTTTATTCTGTGAATAAAATACTGTGAGAGCATATTTTGAACACAGATTGTGAACATATTTTTCTAGAGAATATGTCTTATTGTATGGTAAATGTGTGAACAAAACGTGCAAATATTTTATATATCTCTATCTATAAAAGGCAGGATGTGTGTGTGTGTGTGTGTGTGTGTGTGTGTGTAACGAATGCACGGCCGCAATTTTCGACGGATTTGCACCAAAATTTTCATGCACATGCTCCAAGTTAGCTGGAAGGCCAAAACCGACTTTGCATTTTCCAACTCCCATCGATAGTGACAATAATCGATTTTTTCATGCTTCTACGGCAGTTTTCATGTAGTTTACGGCCATATTCTACTGGTCAGAGTGAGAGCTTATAGCTCGCTGCCACGAATGTTAACTAGTATGATAGCATTGGTTGGGTGTGAAAAAGTAATTGTTGTTAACATTCTTTTTCATTCGGTTTTTCCAGTTACTAGTCCTTTTTTAAAGCTGATCGTTTTGTGTTCATTTTGTTTAGTTCTTTTTTCGTAACAGATTTAATGTTTAGTATAAAGCTTAGGAAAAATTTGCAGTGTGAGATAGGCAAGAATTAAGTAGCAACATCATCACGGCAAAGGGCACTCCTTTAAAGGCAAGGAAGGGCAAAAATATTTTAAGTCAAGTGATAGCGATTGCTGTATGAGTCGTACGATTTTTAAATCAAGCACGGGCAATGCCTGGCCATGCTGCTAGTACATATATATATATATATATATATATATATTAACTTACCCTTAACCGCAGTACCACGTCAGTCGTTTTTGATGAAACTTGTATAAAAGCAGGATTTGTGATCCAAAATACACAATTATATATATATATATATATATATATATATATATATATATATGTGTGTGTGTGTGTGTGTGTGTGTGTGTGTGTGTATTGAAAATAAATAAACATTTGTTCCTCACCGTCCAAATATAAACTATTCCTCCTCGACACACACATATATATATAAATGTATATATTATAATTATTTAAAAAATATGATTCCATCGCTACATAAGAATTCCCATGTTTCAAAAACAGAAGCTAAAAACTTCAATTTAATTATAAAAATTAAATTAAATTAAAGTCTCCAGGTCGGTTTCATCTTGTAGCGAATTTTGGAATAAAATTTTGTAAAAATAAAAACAAAAATACTAAAGAACTTCGGATTATTAACCTAACGGTTATTTTCCATTTTTCTATATATTTACGCGCGCGCGCAACCCCCCACATACACACACGCTCGCGCGTAGTTTTATAACAAACTTTTTAAGACAAGACGTGAAAATATTTGCAAGAGACTGTGGGTTATTATATAATAAAATTTCGAGGGTCAAAGATGAAAATATTTGCTAAACCATGTGGTTTATTACAATGTAGACCTTTGAGTAAAAAAACGTGAATATTATCTCGAGATGGTGAATTATAATATGACAAAATTTTGAGGAGAAAACTAGTCATCAAGAAAATGGAGTTCATTTTAAGATAAAGTGTTGAGGAAAAAACGTGAAATTATTTCAAAGAGATTATTTACCGTGAAAATACTTGTCAGAGCCTGTGGCTTATGACAAAATTGTAAGGAAAAAAAACTTGAAAATATTTCCGTGAGTCTCTGACTTATTTATAACGTGTCAAATATTTAATAGTGAGTCTGAAAATACGATAAACAGTAACAAGTATGCAACAGAAAACCATATCGAACACCTAAGCTGATAGCAATGTGAAAAAAATCGATGATTAATCAAACTAAAGTAACAATAATGAAAACAATTTGTTGGAATAAAAAATGAATTGTCAAATAGAAGAAACATTCTGGAAGTAAAATTTTTTTGCAACAGCAACATTTTCTTGTCACTTGAAGAATCGGATGAAAGAAAATTGGTGTTGAATCCTGGAAATAAAAAAAAATATATTTCTTTTTCTTAATCGGGATTGCTATTTTTTATACTTTCTGTACTGATTACTCTCTGTTCTCAAACAAATTTCTCGTCATTAGCTGGGTTAATAGTTAAATCGTTTGGGTTAATGTATTAAGTTCTGGAGATTACACAGTATAACTTTGTATTTTGCTTTCAAGAACTAATTGTGTTTGTATTTTATCACATAGAATTCATTTATGAATTTATTGCTTTTAACATTTGATACGATCATATTCTATTTACGAGAATTCAAATCCTTAATACTCTGCCGTGAAACATTTTATTTCATTTCATATTTATTTTTCTAATTTTGACAACATAATATATGAATTTCATGAAAAAATATATTATTTTGAAAAGAATTGATAGTTTTAAAATATCTTAAGCTATTATTATTTCGTATTTCTAATTATGATTATAAAGCGCGCAAAAGACAGAAAGTCCGGGTCTAAATAAACAACAGCGAAATTAGAAAATTCAATGAGAAAAATATAATTTATTTTCACATGACACGATCTACCACTCAAATTAACAGCGAGATGCCTTCATGCGACAATTTAGGTGTAATTTCAGACCTTTCGTCTGCAAGTCCATTACTCTATATTATTAAACAAAAGTGTGAAACAAATGAATTTAATCAAAATTTTTGCCATGATTAATCAAATGAAATAAGAACAAAAGATATATTTTTCAAATTAAAATCTTGCTCTATTCGGAATGTGTGCGATCATGGTCATCCATATCTGCCTTTTTATTGTTACCCTCCTCCTTTACAACGCCACTGTTTTTGTGATAGTTGTTAAATAGAATACTAACTGCTTTCATATGCTTCTCATAACTTAAATGTGTCTTCTCAGTGTTAGATTCTACAAGCCGTCTTTCCTCATTAAACGTCCCCCAAAATTGCTGTCGCTTTTTTACTATTCTTAACGGCAATTTCTTTGTGGTTTCTATTCCCCTTCGGACTTCCTAGTTGCGCATGCTTTGGCTATTCGACAATCTAACCACCCTTCGTTCGCTTCGAATATTTCCTTTACTTGTAACAAAATTCTTCAGCATCCATTACCGTCTAGAAGGGTACATTATATAACATTTCAAAAAAAAATAATCACTTTCTGTTTTCAGATAAAGAGATGGAATAATTTGTAGATTTTAATTTATGCGGCTTTCATAAGCGGTTCAGATATATTTGTTAGTTTTTATAAACGTCTTCCTTCTTCGACAGTCCAAGACTTATTCTTTGGGAAGTAATTGTTCCACATTGCCATTTTGTTAGCTTTATGGTCCATATTCTTTCACCACTGGTTCGTACTTTGTTAATTTTTTCTCTACTATCAGAATTCATCCCAAAAACTCTTTCAGATAAAATCATACGGTTGTAAAAGTGCTTGAGATTATTCATAATCAGATCTCTTCAACGGCGAAAAATCTAATTTTACTTTTAGGCGTTAATTTTGGTATAAAACTATGATTTCATTTCACAAGCAGATACATACTCTGTATACGCGATGAGATTTTGTTATTCATCTATCTTGGAGTAACGGTAATCGGTGATGACAGTGGGATAGACGTGTTGAGTTCAAATTCTAACCGAGCCAATTGCGTTTACTTTCGCGCAAATACCCTTATGAAATGTATAAATCCATCTTTTCTCCCACCCCAGTTAAAATTTAATAGCAGTGTAGACTGGGGTGTCTAGCTTTGGTTGGCAAGCGTTCTAGACGAATGACAACTCTGAATCCAAAACTGATTGAACGTGGGGTTAGCAAATATATTCCCATAAAAAAAAAACCTTCTTGCCGCGGAAATCATATCAGCAACATGTGACTCGGTCAGACCGTTCCGTAGTGAGTTCACATGATTACTATACATATATCTGTTTGGCAAAAAACAAGAAATGATTTTATTTTCCACTGTTCCGTTTGGCGTTGTTTATAAGAATATAAAATATTAATCCCGTTGACATCAGATAAAATTAATAGTACAAAATTTGCTCTTTAATTAAGTCTATTAAAACTGACCTGAAAACAAACTGAGACTTGAGTGGTGCTCAAAAAATTATTTAAAACTTACAAATAGCAGCCATATTTTAGAAAGAAATTCGATAACATCTTGGGTGAAAATCAACAGATTATGTAATTTTACAACTGAAAATATCCAAACCGAATTATTTCATGTAGAATATAAATTTTCATGCTTTTTTTTTCGGATTTTATTCAATCGGTTCCATAAAAAAAAGAGGATACTGTTGCTTTTTTTGTCTCTTTATCGAATAACAATGATGAGAAAAAAACATCTTTAACTTTATAATACAATGGATTGATAGCATCGGATTTTTTCGTACGCGTCTTTTGAAAAACTCGGCAAAGGCTTTATAATACGAAAACTTGCAAAAGCAGAATATTTTGGAAGGAAGCTTGTGGACAATTTCATTACTAGAATAATGTTATCAAATCCATGGACCCGAACCATAACTCATAAAGACTGAAAACTCTGTATGCATGAATGTAGATTTATACAGGCATAGTTTGGTATTGGGAATACACAATAATAGCTGCTTGAATTGCTAATCAGAAGACGGCAAACAAGAACAGAAAAATATCGAAGTGCTTATCACATACACACACGCACGCACAAACACACGCACGCACACACAC